CACCAAACAACGATGGGCTGCAACGAAAAAATAGCCAGGTGTTGTGGCAGGCGCCTGTGGTCCCAGCTACTTGGGAGGCTGAGGCAGGACTTGCTTGAGCCCAAGAGTTGGAGGTTGCTGTGTGCTGTGATGCCAGGGGGATAGCTTGAGGCTCTGTCTCAAAAAAAAAGGAGAAGATTTCAGAAAAGCACTTGTGCTCAGCAGAACTACAAGTTACCCAGGGAAAAGGGAGAACATTCAAAAAAGTTAAAACGGGACAGAGCCTGTGGCTCAAAGGGGTAGGGCACCGGCCCCATATGCCGGAGGTGGCAGGTTCAAACCAAGCCCCAACCAAAAACTGCAAAAAAAAAAAAAGAAAGAAAGAAAAAAGTTAAAACGGGATTTTTGTGAATGAAGGACTATAAATTCTAGAGTGTACAGAGAGAGATGTGGACATACAGGATATATGAAAGAAGTTACACAAGTGGGGACCAGAGCAGACGAGATGGGGAGTAACCTGGGGCCGGGGGCTTCTTGAGTTAACTGTCATTCATAGGTACAAAGGACATAATGAGACATGTTTCTCATGATACTGAAGCAGAGAGTCACAGCCCAAGGCTGTCAGTTTTAGACGGTAAGGAAATAAGAAGAGCCTGGCTCCCCTGTCACTCTGGCCAAGGAAGGCATGGAAGCTAGGGGGGAAGACAGGGTGAGGATTAAATAATACGTATAAAATAAACAGCAGGGCACCTGGCACATGACACGTAATCAATAAATGTTCAAATAGTTTAGAAATTATTTCCACAACTAATAAGGGGACTGAGCATAGTTATCCTTTACATGGTTGATTTAAATGGAATCAAACAGAGCCTTTAGTCATTTCTATCAAAATTTGGTTAGGCCCTTAACTACCTAAGATAGCCCTATTTTATGGGAAAATCAAAATAACTTGTTTTAACTTATAGTATGACTTCCATTAATGTAAACTGTCAAAATCTCAAGAATTGCCAAAGTTTATGTTTATTTGGCATCACAAAAGAATATATATCATTAAAATCTCTTTGCTTTTCATGATTCTTTCTGAAGAAAAGAAAGTTTTAAATGTTCACTTGAAATTTAATAAAAATTTATCAACAAAAAATGTATTACTTACTAACTTCCTGATCTTCTAATCAACCTATTTCATACATCGTAGACACACCGTCACGTTCAAATGACTACCTCCTACCGTACTGACTAAAAGGGGATTCCTCCTTCATGCTACTTTGCCTGATTTCACCTCATGTATGTCACATCTTTATGTACTGAATTGTCTGTTCTATACACTTTGAGCCTTTAGAGATCAAAACTGACTCACATTCCTATGCCTTATGTCCAGCTTAATGTCTGACCCAGAGTAGGCACTTGATAAATATATACTGAATTAATAAAAGTTGATTAATATCTCCGAGACATTTAGATTTCTATGCCCACATGTGGAAGGGCAGTGGCACCCCAAATCTAAATGGAATGATTGGAACAATGAAATAAATTACTCACACAGCCTTCTTACTCAGACTGCAATCAAGAGATCTAAGCTTTATCTGTACTTGAATCTCTCTGTTCTCCATTTAGCATTGAGAGTTTGATTAGGCTCGGCGCCTGTGGCTCAAGTGGCTAAGGCGCCAGCCACATATACCTAAGGTGGCGGGTTTGAATCCCCAGCCCGGGCCCGCCAAACAACAATGATGGCTGCAACCAAAAAATGGCCAGGCATTGTGGCAGGTGCCTGTAGTCCCAGTTACTTGGGAGGCTGAGGCAGGAGACTCGCTTGAGCCCAGGAGTTGGAGGTTGCTGTGAGCGTGATGCCATGGCACTCTACCCAGGGGGATAGCTTGAGGCTCCGTCTAAAAAAAAAAAAGAGAGTTTGATTAAAACTTAAGAGTGTTGTCTGGATGCAGTGGTTTACACTTCTAATTCCAACACCATGAGAAGAGAAGGCAGGAGCATCACTTGAGGCCAGGAGTGACACAGTAAGACTTCATCTCTACTAAAATTTAATTAATTAATTTAGAAGGTGGAAGAATTATTAGGCATAGGAACAATGACAACAGAAAAATCATATCAAGTAAGAGGTCAAAGAAAAGAAACAGGAAAATTATGAATACACATAATTATTTCACTGATTCAGTATTAAAAAATTATTAAATTATGCTTTCCAACCTGTTTAAAAACATATATTTTTAAAAGATTTACATTAATATGATGAAAATAAATACTTTGTTATTTGAGGACACTAAGACTGAATGTTCTGAAAATCTGCTTCTGGTTCACACTGAATTGCTTGTTTACAATGGATCAATGAAAGACTAATGTTTATCAGATTAGCACGGTATTTTACTGTGACATCCTAAATGACAAACTTACATCGCATTGCATGCCTTAGCTGTTCATATTGCTGTTGAGCAAGAATATGAAGCTTATCTTCTGACGTGCCTCCTTGAGAGAGATCTTTAAGTAAATCTGTATCTAAATTTCAAAAAGTAAATAAAGACTTTAAAATATATCACTATTAAGGTACTTTCCATATATTGCTATTATCACACACTTTTCTTTCTTTTTTTTTTTTTTTTTGTAGGAACAGTGTGTCACTTTATTGCCCTGGGTAGAGTACCGTGACATCACAGCTCACAGCAACCACCAGCTCCTGGGCTTAGGCGACTCTCTTACCTCAGCCTCCCAGGTAGCTAGGACTACAGGCGCCCGCCACAATGCCCTGCTATTTTTTTTGTTGTTGTCACAGCTTGGCTGGGGCCAGGTTCAAACCCACCACCCTCGGCATACGGGGCCAGTGCCCTACCCACTGAGCCATAGACGCCACCCTATTATCACACACTTTTTAACTGTTTTGCCTACTAATGAAAGTTTTCATGGAACATATTTAATAATATTAAAATGTTGATTTAAGAATTAAAACAATAAAGGTAATTTTGTTTAGGATTTTTTTTTTTTTTTTGGAGACAGAATCTCCCTGGGATTGAATGCCATGGTGTCATCATAACTCACAACAACCTCAACCTCTTGGGCTCAAGCAATCTTCATGCCTCAGCCTCCCAAGTAGCTAGGACCACAGGCACCCACCACAATGTCCACCTAGTTTTTTTCTATTTTTAGTAGAGATGGGGTCTCACTCTTGCTCAGGCTGGTCTCAAGCTCCTGAGCCAAGCAATCTGCCTGTCTCGGACTCTCTGAGGACTAGGATTATAGACATGAGCCACCACACCTGGCTAATTTTGTTTAGTTTTAATATTGGTTTTCAAAAGGAATATGGAATATATTTAATATTGTTTTTCTCAAGTTCCTATGAAACAGTCATCCAAACAGTCATTAAATCATTTAAGTACAGAAGACAGAAGGCAATCAGTCTGGAGACTAATAACAAAAGAGAGAGAATAAGATTTTCTAAAGTACAAACTGATGGGCTAGTGAGATCTGGGTAGGAAAGAACACACAAAGATATGGTTCAAAACTTTAGCTTAACTTTCCAAAAGAAATCTTGGAAGAAAAAAAATCACTAAAGCAAATTTATGTCTTCATAATAGTTTAAGACACAATGTCTTAAATGTTTTGGGCTTTGGAAAATAATTTAAACATATTTCTTAATATTAACTAAAATATATTGAATGCTACTTCATACAGATTATTTTACTTAACAACCCCTTGAAGCATTGTCATCTCTTTTAACACTGAGAAAACTGCTTAAACAAACATTAAACAACTTATCTAAGGTTATCTATATCTGTATACTATGTACACAGCCAGGATTCCAACTCAAAAATCTGACTTTGGAGTATGATAGCCAATTATTCATACCAGGTACATGGTTATTCCTCATTACAGTAATATCAATAAAAGTTAATTAAACTCTATTTCTTCCCAATTTAGTTTTATATTTTATATTTTTCTCTGTTCTAAAACTGTTCATTATTTTTAAAAAGACTATTTACAAACTATTATACTCAAACTGTATCATCCATATCATTCTATATTCCTACTTTAAAATAATTTCATGTTGTTAGGAAGAACCAACTTCATACATTTCTCAGTGATTCTAATTTTTTTTTTTTGAGACTGAGTCTCACTATGTTGCCCTTAGTAAAGTGCTGTGGCATTACAGTTCACAGCAACCTCCAACTCTTGGGCTTAAGCAATTCTCTTGCCTCAGCCTCCCAAGTAGCTGGGACCACAGGCATCCGCCACAACACCCGACTATTTTTGTTGTTGTTGTTGCAGTTGTCATTGTTGTTTAGGTGACTTGGGCTGGATTCGAACCTGCCAGCCTGGGTGTGTGTGGCCAGCACAGTAACCACCATGCTATGGGCACCAAGCCTCTAATATTTTTTAATGTTAAAACTTTTTAAAAAACTAATTCATTATTATGCTGTTCTACCTGGAATCTAAGTCTAATTAAAAATAATCTTTTGGATTCACCCCTGCTCAGTTTACGGCTAGTATTCCTATCGTCACCACTCAGTGAGAAACTCCTTATTTGCTCTGGCTTTGAGCTCCCTGGCTTCCTTCAAAAGCGCCCTTATTTCAGGACATGACCACTTCTCAGCTTGTCACCTCTTCCTCAAGGCTTTCAGAACATTACCAATATCTAGTAAATGTTTTCTCTCCTTTTGCCATTTCTCTTTTGCTTTGGGTTTTTCTCCCCTCCCCTGTCTATTATTTTTATCTATGCCTAATTTTTTTCTGGGTTTCCATATCAAAATGGCCCAGGATAAGACAGAGCCCCTCCCATAGCTGTATGCTCCCATTCTCTTGACAGTTATGTTTACTGTAGCTGCTATTTCTTCACCCTTTTCCTTCAGTGTCTACTAATTTATTTTTTATTTCCACAAGTTCATGGAGATACTTTCTCAGCCTACTATTCTGTCTGAATTGGTTATTTTTCTCCTAAACTCTCTGTGAAAGGAAATTTTTATAGCAAATCAGTATTCTACATGGTACAGTGTAAGCCAAATTAAAGATAGTGTAATTTAGTGTGAAGAAAATGTGCTAAGATGAATTTGAACTCCAGCCTTTCTGCCTACTAGCTATATAGCCATAAGCAACTTGATTAATTTTTCCAAGTCTTGGTTTTTATTCCTCTGCAAAAGAGGGATAACAGGCTCAGCACTCATAGCACAGTGGTTATGGCACCAGCCATGTGACCAAGGCTGGTGGGTTCGAACCTAGCTCGGGCCAGCTAAACAACAATGACAACTGCAACAACAAAAAAACTGATTGGCGCCTGTGGCTCAAAGGAATGGGGCACCGGCCCTATA